GTGTGTGTGTGTGTGTGTGTGTGTGTGTGTGTGTGTGAGTGTGCGCGCGAATTGCAGACGCATTAAGAAATTCAGCATAAATTCTGTTTGTCTGACTCTGTCTATCTGGCTATTTCGGTTTTCCTTCGGCTTKTTTCRTTGAACCCCTCTAGGGTCCCCTACCAAGCTAAGTGAACCAATGAACTCACCATAATGTGGTATGATGGCCCAGGCCATAGCTGATGCATAGATCTCTCCAATCATCCAGAACATACAGAGCCAGCTGAGATGTTCTCCTCTTTTCTCTCTGGACAACACCTCTGCAAAAAAGGAGAAAACAATGGGCACGGCGCCTCCTATCCTGCAAAAAAACAAAGATACAGATGTTTAGAGGAGCTGAAGCAGACAGAAATGTAACCTTATTTTTATGTATTTCACGTGAAATGGTGAATTTCCCTGGGCTTCAACAACATGAAACCAATAAATAAATAAATAAGAAATAACATGAAAACCATTTCTAAAAAAAGGGTTGATTAAAAAAATTATGACTTCATCTAAAAAAAAAAATGGCTGGCTGGATGGATGATGGATGGATGGATGGATGGATGGATGGATGGATGGATGGATGGATGGATGGATGGATGGATGGATGGATGGATGGATGGATGCTGTTATTATGTTATAAATTACAGTGACTGCAAGTGAGCAACAGAGGTGAAAGTAGGAAAAAAAGAATTGCCCTACAAAACATATTTCCTCTGACTCATGTTTCAAAAAAAAAAGGGAAATATCTGTTTCCCCACGTTTCAGAGACACAGCTCATTCTGGCAGCTTCAATAACCTTTTCAATTACTCTGAGTGTCCCCGGAGAGGATGAAGTAGGTTCAATTACTGAATTAGCTCTGAAAGGAACGGTAACACTGCTAAAGATGACAACAAGAATAAATGACTCTGTGCCAAAAAGACACACTCTGCTTCTGATCATATTTCTTTTTCACGCAACATATTATGGACAGTTTTTAAATCCCATTAGCTAAAATCAATAAATCTTGACAGCTCATGGTTTTTGCTGTTATACAAATTACATTTGTTAGCATAAATACTGTAGCAACCTCCATCCATTCAGTTAAAAGCAATGAAAGTAACTGAAACTTGTTTTGTTTGAAATCAAATAATGAACATAATGTAACATTTAAATCTCAGGGATAAAATATTTTAGTCTGACTGATAACTATCTCACTGACTCTAAAACTGGTTTAAAAGCAGCACTCTGAGACATTAAACTAGATTCCTCCTTGACCTCCACTTTATCAGACTTACCCAAAGCCYGCGGCGAGACGGCAGAGGAGGAACAAGCCATAACCCTGGACAAAAGACGACAGGAAGGCAAAGAAGCCATTTGTGGACATGCAAATGAGGAGACACTGTCTGCGGCCCACTTTGTCAGACATCCCTCCCCAGAAGAAAGCGCCAACCATCATTCCCAAGTAAACAACGCTGCCTGGAAGGAAGAGATACAGCCCTGATTAGGTTTTGACAGAGATTTATCAGATTCTAGCTAATCTATATAAAAAATAAAAAAACAGATAGTTATCCATTGCTTGTAGTTTGAAAAGACTCACAGATATATTGTTTTTTACATCCTAAATTGCAGCTTAGCTGACTCATATTAAGGGGTAATGTATTTAGTGGTACAAGCGGCCGAAATGGGTTTCCTCCGCAGGGTGGCTGGGCTCTCCCTTAGAGATAGGGTGAGAAGCTCAGTCATCCGGGAGGGACTCAGAGTAGAGCTGCTGCTCCTCCACGTCGAGAGGAGCCAGTTGAGGTGGCTCGGGCATCTGGTAAGGATGCCTCCTGGAYGCCTCCCTGGTGAGGTRKTCCGGGCACDKCCCAMYRKGARGAGGCCCCGAGGAAGACCCAGGACACGCKGGAGGGACTATGTCTCTCGGCTCACGCCTTGGAGTTCCCCCGGAGGAGCTGGAAGAAGTGGCTGGGGAGAGGGAGGTCTGGGCCTCCCTTCTGAAGCTGCTGCCCCCGCGACCCGACCCCGGATAGGCGGAAGAAAATGGATGGATGGATGGTATTTAGTGGGGCAATATTAAGAAAATTGGATTAAAAAAAGACATGTTAAAATGTTGATAAAAGTAGAAAGRWGTAAGTCTACAACATATTTTTGCCTGATGAATTATTTAATCATCTAAATTGTTTAGTTTTTTTAGTTTAGTTTACTTGTTTATTCATTTCATTTAAAACCAAAAATTTTATACACATTAAAAACAAAAATATACACAGCATGTATACACAACAAAAATACATATATACAAATCAAATTGAAATGAAATGAGGCAGAAAGAAGAAAAAAATCTCATAATATCTGCCCCTTTTTTCTGTAAATAATTTAAAGCAATAATAACTAGGAAAAAAAAACAAAATAAAAACTTCACTTGATTCTCAAACAACTTAGATATACATTACAGAGTTTCATATTTCTTTAACAAACTTATTTTTTATCTTTCTCTTAAACACATTGAACCAACATTTTTATAATCACTTTCCAGAGTATTCCACAATCTTATTCTCTGAACCAAAGTACATCAGTCCTTCAAGTTTGTTCGAATCCTGGGTTTCACAAACATCTCAAGTCCTTTAAGATTATAAGAACTTTCTTTCTTAACAAAATATAACTGGATGTTTAAAGGTAACATTTTTATGAGCCTTATAATTAAGCTGCAAAGTATAATATCAACCAACTCATAAAATTGTAATAATTTTAATTTACAAAATAAGATATTCAAGGGGTGACTGTAATGTTTTCTGGTGATAATTCTTACTGCTCTTTTTTGTAAAATAAAAATAGGATTTGTGATTGTTTTACATGCTTTACAATTTAGACTTCAATACAGTCTAAATTGTCTTAAATGGCACTCAACTTCTACTTTAATGTAGTTAAAAGCATTAAAGTTATTTATCTGAAAAGCTCAACAACAAAAAAACAACAACACATTATAAGAATTGCATGGAGTTCTGTAAATGAACAGTTTTAGATTTTTGAACTGGGAAAGCTGAGAACTAAACCAATAAAACTTTTAACACAGGGTCAAATACCGCAATGTGAAGAAACAACTGAACACCTCGTTGCCTCCGATGAGCCCAACCAGGATGAATGTGATCTAAAGCTCTGATTAGACTCTGCAGAATGATTTGTTCAGATTAGCTTTGTAGAGCTGTAGTAAAGTGCTGTATGAATGTGTGTGGATTGGTGAATGAAGGCACAGATTGTACTGTGAAGCAGAAAGATGTCAGATAAGTACAGTCCATTTACCTGCAAAAGATTTTTGCAGCAGAATTTTTGTTTTACAGAAATGATGGGTGTTGTTAACCTGGCTAAGTCTGTGCTGGTGGAGGGTAACGACTGTATGTAAGTGAAAATTTGGTGATTGTCCTGTTAAAATAATAACTACATTTTGCTCTCAAATGCCTTTTGAGGCTTGCCACAGGAAATGGGAACTAATAAGACATCTACAGATGATAATGTGGGTGGTTATTTGAGTTAATTAAATTCTTTAGATTTGCATGATCAATAAGAACAAAATATTCCAACACTTTTTTGGTTCAGGTATTCTTCAGGCTTTGTCCAGGTTCCAAAATTAATTTGAAAAGGTAATTAAGATATATTAAGTTACCAAAAAATATATATAGTTTTTCTTAACTATATTTAATATCAGAAGCACAGATGAGAAGCATTATGTTTGCATTTGCTCATGTTGTCATAAATGGGAGTAAATAAATGTCCACACAACTGTTTTTCTTTAGAAAACTTGCTGATTTGAAAATTTCTGTTTTGATTTTTGATTTAAAGTAAATTCAACCAGACGACCCCAGTAAATCATCACATTACTGATGAGTAAAAGCAGTGAAAAATACAGAACGGGCTTTGAACAGTGACTAAATAAAAATGACCAGTAACGCAGGTTGACTTTACAAAGGGGCCCTCTGCTCTCTTTTAATCCTGCCCGTCACAAATGGGATCAATACTCCAACAAAACAGAATTGATTTTTTTTTACTGATCATCACGACTGAGCCCAGAGGAGAGGAGGTTATTACTGCTTCAGTCTATCCAGCTGATATTGTGCAACTAAAGGCTTTTGTGGGCATGCCATGACTGCTGCAAAAATGCAAGTCCAGCTGGATTTTTCTCTGATATTTWATGTCCATACAAAACATGTTTTTTTATATATATAAAAACTGATAATATTGCTTTGCCTGCAAATATTTAAAAACCTAATCTGAAATCTGGTTTAAATCAGTTGTTTGCATTCAAAATGCCTTATACGGCAGGAAACAGAAAATGAGATGCAGATCAAAATTGACTAATACAGCATGACTCAGCCGTAAGGATATTTTATTCACAATGTTTTAAAATTAATTTTAGAAAGCTACACTCCTACTTTGTCTTTCTTCATTCAGATAACCTTTTTCTTCTGTGAGCCCGCACCTGTTTGAATATTTTGCTGCAGGGTGTCCACTATTAGGACGCTATTCACTTATGAGTTCCATTAATTCAACTTAAGGGTATTTAGTGTTTGCACAATTTAAGTTTGCTCCATTAAGAGGCTATAAATGCAGTGAAACGTCCATTGGCCTCTGCTTTTCATGCCACATTTAAACACCTGTTCTTTTTTTTTTTTTTTTTTTTTTTTTGTTAAGTGGCGGGGGGAGTGGGGTCCCCAGGTGAAACCCTCCTGCTGGCCTTGGGTCAAAACGACCCTCATGGCCTCAATGTTAAGACTGAGACCTCACAGCTCAGTTTTACCAAACAGTTAAGTTTTTACTCAAACAATAAAACTGTCTTTGAAAGAAATCCTGGGTTTCTGCTGCTTGAATACCGTACATAAAGATCCAAACAGTTACCAGCACATCCCTAGAGGACCCTCGGTTACATAATGAATTTATCGATGTTCTGTCAGAGTARCTCCAAAGTGTGTCAGCTTGATGTCTGCTGGCTCCAACAAAGGGGAGAAACATGCATTATAATGAAATATAGCAGAAAAAAAGTATCATTATTGACACAGCAATTTGTGTGGAAAGTCATTTTATCCTACATTCCCTTACTTTTTTCTTATTTCTCACTCCTATACCCGTTATCATATTTGCAACACGGTTGTGTATTTCAAATTTCTTGCCATAAGAAGCACTTAGAGAGCATTCTCAGCTTTAGTTCTAAACGTCTAAATAAAATGCACTGAATTGTTCCACTTGCTTGTGGTAAGGCAGAGAGATGCATCTAAATTTAGAGCTGTAGACTCATGCAGAATGTGAGCACCATCAGAGGATGACAGTGTGTCAGGAGATTTCTCAAAAGGGTTTTTCCTCCATGACACTGTGTTGAGTTGTCAAAACACACCTCCGAAACGGGGAAAAAAATATCACAGTCACCCTAAAGACGTGGAAAATTCTACAGAGCTGCATAGATTTAAATACTTCCAAGTGTTAAACCGTGTTAAYGCAATGAAAGGACGTTAGAAGACAAAGCTCCACCTAAGAGATGAAACGGACAAAGGGGACCCCTCCACGCCCCCTGAGAGATGTGGAAGTACTGAGCTGCATCGTGACCTCTCCTTTGATTTCATGCTTTGATGCTCCACACTCACAGCGGTGCAAAATGTCACCGCATCACACAAAACACCCATCCTGTCTTATTCACATACATGATATGCTCTTATAGAGCTGGTGCACCCCATGGCGACGTCCCCGTACCTATTTCTTTTCTCCCCCTCACATTATCTTTTATACATCATGTCCTGCCCTTTTACCTCGTCTCCTCAACCCTCATGCCCCAATCGTTCAGCCTTTTCTTTTCCTCTCATCCTTGCTTTCCAATTTCCTGCTTCACTTCTCATTTCTCTTCTCATTTCAGCCTCTTCTACACTCCCATTGGTCTCACTTCTCCCCGTGCTTCCCTCGCCATGTTTTCTTTAGTTCCCTCGCAGCTTCTATCAACAGCTCCTTTACGCTGATCAGCATGTAATCTTATTTGGGCTACATTGTGCCTGTTTTATCGGATTCATGCCTGTGCCACCTCCGCAGAAAAAGAGATTGAAGCGTTTGGTCATATTTAAGTCACACAAGTGGGTGCAAGAGCTCTAAACTTAGCACAAAATATAAGGAAATTTGTTTGGTTCATTATTTCTTTGTTGTAAATCTGCTAGAAAGCCTGTTCATTACACCTTAAATGGTGCCACGTAGGAAAATGCATTAGTGGGTCAAGCAGCAGGGTTGAGTTACGCCCAAGAAGAACTTGCCAAATCTTCTCTGTTTTTATGGCAAACAGCCTATTATTTAAATGATTCTTGTCTGATGTTAATTGAGTTGGATGAATGAAGTTTGAAGAAACAAGACTTGTTGGCAATTTAAAGGGATCCTCAATTAGTTGTAACATTAGACATTATATGATAAACATATACTTTAACTGTAAAATAAAGACTGTAAAAATACTGTAG